TTTTTCCAGCGGATTTGGGTGATGTCACTCATTCATATCTGGAAAATTACACTCCCCTTGTATCCATTTCAAAGTATTGCTCTCTCTTATGAGTCCATATAGGAAAGCGTGAGGTCGGTTTTTCCATAGGCTCTGTGTTCGGCCTCTGCTAGAATGACTTCTCATTTGCCACTGGATGTTCCATGTTAGTTAAGGTCACATTCATCTGCCAACAACAGAGAATCCCATTAACTGAGACTTAAACAGAAAGCAGTTTGTCTCAGCAAACAGGAAGTCCAGGGCTCTGCAGTCTGGGGCTGGTGTGGCCTTTGCATGGTGACAGCAGGGACGGGACTTTTTCCGTCTTCCTACCCACCTTCCTTAATTAGCTTTGGGCCTTTCTCATCACACTCATGACTAATGGTGGCTGCTGCACCTCTAAGGTGCTGTTTTCCGGCAGGATGAAGGGAGAGTGACATGGAGATGCAGGCAGAGGGCTCTCTCTTCAAAGGCATTTGTCTTTTGGAGGTGAGGGAGCAGATGCTTGGTCAGGACTGCCTGCATTTTTCTCGTCGATCAGAAATGTGCTGGATGCCCAACTCTCAATGAGAAAGAGGCTGGGGAATTGGGTATTTTTAGTTGGGTTCATTGCTGCCCCAAACTGGGGTTTGAATCAAGAGGAAGGGGAGATGGCTTGGGTCGGTGCTCCGCTGTTTTCCATGGTGGACCCCGTCAAGCTGAGCTACATGAATCACTGGATGAGACTGTCCTACCATAAAGACTGTGTCATGTGATGTAGAGGGGTAGGCATGCTGCGTAGCACAGAAACAATTCCACGTAATTCTTGAAGCTTCCTGAAAGTGAGGAATCCTGTGGAAAGGATTCAAAAGCCAGAAAAAGTTGCCTTTGGGACAGGGATAAATACAAGTGACTGAAATGAAGGAAGGGAACCAAGAAATCAGAAAAGTAAAGGAAGAGATGGAAAATTCAGGAGGGGTGCACGCTGAGAAACCTGGGGCTAACCCTGGAGGCTAAGTGAATTTTGGTGTAGAAAGCAGTGGCCAGTCTTGTACTTGTAAGCTGGGCAGAACACCTCTCATGTGGGGATGGGCAGCAGCAGGCCAGGTGGTGCGGGCACGCCCCTAGCAGGCTGAGGGGTCCGGGCAGGTTCGGCAAGGGGCAGCAGGAGTGTGGGAAACAGGGAACAGTGGGTCTAGAGGCAAAACATAGGAAGCGACTCAGCTAGGCACGTCTAGCCAGCACCCATCTCTTCCGTTCTGTTAGAGGACCAAGAAGGAGAAAGATGGCACTGCGAGCCAGGATTAGCAGCAAAGGCAGTGCAGACTGGAGTGGGAATTAGGATGATCATGATGGTAACACAGCTGCTGTTTACTGAGCACTTCCCACACGCCAAGTACTATACTAAATGGTTTGCTTGATTCTTACAACAACCCTGTAAAGTGGAAGGTGGCGTTATCACCAGTTTTGCAGACTTTGAGCGACTTGTCCAAGAGCACACAGCTAGTGAATGGTAGAACTGATCTGAACCCTCTGACTCCAGCACCCATACTCAGAGCCACTGGTTTTAAGCCAGTTGTTCAAATCATGGCCCAAGATCAGAGCTCAGCACCCACCCCTGGGCTGGATGGATCCCGGCTGATTGAGCCCCAGACCCGGAGAACAGAGGGCTGGTTTCTGAGGTGCCCTGTTTGGAGGGGGCAGCAGGTCCAGGCAGACACCCTCTTCCCAGCTGCTTGGAGGAAAAGGAAATAGAGAGGAGTCACAGGGAGCAGGGTTCAGAGTGGGCCAGTTATTCAGGAGAGGAGTGGGTATCCGCGGAAAGTAGAATTTCTCTGTGCAGGTGGGAGAGTAGTGCCAGGTTTTGACGACAGCTAAGAAAAGAGGAGGCCAAGGAGGCAAAAGTCTTCAGCCCTTGGCAGGCAGGGAGCACGTGTTAGCTTTGTTGTCCCAAAAAATGGTGGAATAAAGGGAAGAGGTTTTCCTTTCTTTGTTTTTTTTCTTCTTTCTCTCTCATCCCCTCCCTCCTTCCCTTCCTTTTTTCCTGTCTTGTTTTCCCTGCCATGTGGACCCTGGGACCTTCACACCAGCATTTACAGTGATTGATACTTTAGGACTGGCTAAACCAGCTGTGGGGAGAGGGTTGCTGGGGGTTGTCAGAACAGGGAATGGTGTGAATGGGGAATGGATGGGGGTGGGGCAGGACCAGGGCCATTCACAGGAGAGGCTGGGGCAGTGTCATGCACAGAACTGGAGTCCTGGAATGCGGCCCCTTCAGTTTAGAGACGGAGAAAATGAGGCCTGGGGTGGTTAAGTGACTCAGGTATAGACTCTTAGAGTTAGAAAAGCCCTTAAATGTCACCTTACCCCACTGCCCAAGGTCATCCAGCTAATTGGCCTACTAGAATGTGCCTCTCATTATTCAGCCATGCCCATCCTCAAACCTTGGGAATTGCATGCATTTATCTCAAGTTCATAAAAAGGCCATGCACTATACTATTTGTGCAATAGCGAGTCTAGAGTAAAATTGTCTTTACTGCAATCCTCCGGGACCCTCACTGAAATGAGATGTTGATCATATGAAGCAATCTTATTGAACAGAAAAACTTTCAAGGAAAAAAGTTGTGTCCCTTGAGCCAGCCAGTCTCACTAAGGGACTCGCTGCTTTGCAGTGTGAGCAGCTAAAAGCCAGGATGGAGTGACTGGAGATACCAGCCATTGGTTAAAATTCTCCCGACATAAATGATCTCCTTGTCTTCTCTTTGATGGATCGAGACTTTCAAAAATGAAGTGCATCTGTGAACATCATACCTACTTCTTCCCTTTACTTTTAATCCTTTATTGGAAAGTAACTGAAAGCAGTCTTAGTATTGAAGAACAGCTTGGGCATATGAAGGTATAAATTTGCACACAAAATAGAGCCCCCTCACATACCCGAGGCTTTTCCCAGTCTAGTGGGTCTGCCAGTGATTGTACTTTTGCCCTGTGCTGCCCTCGACCACGGCTGGTTACTGGTGGCTATGCTGGTTTCTCCTGGCTTCCCAGTGGCCATTGTCCAATGTCCTGGTTTAGAAGTGCCAGATGTCCAGGTTCATCTAAACCAGAGAGTCACCAGGGTGGGTGCCCTACACAATGCCCTGCGCTGCCCCTCTGGCCTCGCGTGCTGGCAGATGGAAGGGGGTCACGTGCAACACCTTCTCTTTGGGTGCCTTATCACTTCGGTGAGTCTCAATAGCTCCATGGGCTTTTGGGGGAACCACAGGATGTAGAAAAGGACAGAGAAATGATGGGTAGGGGACTGGAAGAAAACTCGCAGGTTTCTCCATTACAGAGCAGAAGATTCTCTCTAGGAGTGAAAGACCCAACCCAGTTGGTAGTTAAAAATGGACTGAAATAAGGTTTCTAGAAACACTGATAAAGTTTGCTCCCTGACTTGCAGACCCAAGATTTCCTCTTGTTTCAGCCACCTCAACATCGTGTGTCATTTCACAGTCTGTCCTTATAGCTGCGTTTTCCAGAGATTGGCATCGAGTCACAAAGCTATTCGCTTTTCCATTAGCTTTCAGTCCCTCTGATCGTGTCAGTGGGAAAGTCTCAATTTGCAACTACTAGCTCTTTAACACCTTTCTAACCTTTACTGATCTACCTTTTTAACAAAGAAAGAATAAGCTGTAGACTCATACTTTCGGCAAGCAGCAGTATCTGGCTATAAGAAAAGAAATTTTGTGATTTTTAAAAAACTGAATTAATGTATACAGTAACCTTCTATATGGCTGGCAGTGCCAGCTTTTCACTGAGGACACAGTTTTCTTTTAACTAAGTTTATTAAAATAAAAGTAAGGAATCAACCTGAAAATATAAAGTAGGTACAGAAAGTACCCAGGTAAAGCAAAATTCATGAAGGTGGCACTTGAGGGTGACAGATGTCTGGGAAACACTGTCCTCCAGCTCTTCTCCCCTTCTGCTTGTCCTTCCCATCCTCTCCCCCAGCAGGAGGCAGAACAGAACTTTTTCCATTAACCCCTTCATGTATTGCCTTTATACCGCAGGATCTGAGGTGAGTTGCATATCATTCATTGTAACCCCTCTTTAAACTGAACTTACACAATTTGAAGGGAAAACGAAGGAGCCCAGTGAAAATTAATTCCTAGCCCCATAGTTCCTCCTGATCCCTGACCAGTGGCAGTGTTTAAATTTATAGAATCGATACCAATGTGCAATAGCATCTTCTTTAAGTCTGGCTGCTTACCCACCCGGCTCTGATGCCTTTCTCATTTGCAGGCACCACCTTGGCTGTATTTTCAGCCACACCAGGGCCCCTGCTGTTTTCTGAACCCACCTCGCCCTTTCATGCCTCCTGCTTTTATTCAGGCTGTGTCCTCCAGCCTTCCTGCAGTTTTTCTGCCTGTCACAAGCCTACTCATCTTTGAGTTGGCACGTCTTCCAGGAAGTTCCCTAGATTCCCCCATCTGGAGCAGCTAGTTCGCTCTTCACTGCTGCGACATTTTGCTTCTATCTGCCTCATGAATCTTGTTAAGTCTAGGGCATACTAGAACCAGCAGTAGATGCATGATTGTGGACCCTGGTTTGTAGTTCCAGTTCTGTATCCAGCTAGCTCTGGGGCTGTAGTTAGGTTGTTTTAACAACTCTGGTCTCCGTTGCCTCATCTGGAAGATGTACAGGGTGGATGGTGGTGGTAGTTTCAGGCACTGTAGTTCGTGAGTCTCCTGGAGGTATTACTGTTATTTCTATAACGTTCTTTTCTCCAGCTAGATTGTAAAATCCTGAGCAAAAGATCTCTAAATCCCAACACCTCCCATTTGTACCTAGTAGTTATTTATTATTAAGTGTCTGAATAAAATGTTCATTTGAGATAGGTAAGATACAGAGTTCTAAACTCTTACACTTTTTAAATTTATTGATAACAGGCATACACATACATTTGGTATATTCCCATAATTATTTTTAGCTACTAAAAATGTTTCTATATATTTCAATCTTTTTTCCTCTTGATAAATAAATGCTCTTTCAGTCAAAACAAAGGTGTTATTTTGAATATGACCAGCAGGGGGCAAACTTCACCCAGGAATTGCCTCGTAACGCACACTACCTTCTATTTGATGGGGCTCAGCCGTCTACAAACAGGACGTGGACATCAATTTTCCTCTTCCTGCTAAACACCTCATTGATTCTGCTGGCAGGAGCTAAGTCCGGTCTGATATGACCTGAAATGCCAAAGTGCCAAAATGTGGGTGCTGGGGAGTTCTTGTTCATCTTTAAAAGAAGGGAAAAAAATAACATTACGTACAAATATATTCTGGACACTAAGCACATGAATAGCAAGAACTAGGAACCAAGGGAGAAAAAGAGTGGAGGTTTCAACTTCCAGGAGAGAGTTCGGTGAGGAGAAAGCTCTTGGCCAAGGAAAACTTCAGCTCACATGAAATATCTGGCTTTTTGTCAGAAGTGTAGGTGCGGGGATATCTTAGAGCAGAGGGACCCAGTGAACCAGTCTGCTGTCCCTGATACCAAATGCACATTGTTGCCAGAGTTCCAGGGGTAAACTTCTCCTTGCTCAGATTTGAGTTTTCACAGCAAACACTCATTGGCGGGTCACGTGATTATAAAGTAGCGCCTTGATTTTGGATGTGCTAGTGACATGTTACATGATCTGGACAAAGTACCTCCTCTTTCTCATGTGTTGGTAAAATTTACCTCAAAGAGGTTTAGAGGCACTTGTGAGATTTTGATGGGAGTTTAAAACTATGAGATTTGAAAACCTTGCAAGACAACGGTGTTTTGACTTCTTTTCCTCCAGAGGAGTAATATATTTTGGAAACTTAAAGTAGCTTTGGGTCCAGCTTAGCTGGTAACCGATTCCTGCTCTTTCCCTCACCAGGTGTTTCTTTTTGAATTTGGCCCCTGGCTGCTGAGATCTTCTTGTCATGGGAGCCCTGTGAGCTTGTCACTGGAGCTTTTGCTGTTTTTCTCACCGGCAACAAGTTGCAGTAGTCACCATTTGTCCAAAGCCTTTACATGCCTTTCTGGGTCAGACGCTGTGGTCCATGGGGGATGGACTAGCAGAGGGCCTTCCACTGGGACAGCCAGGGCTGCAGACACCTGGCACTTTGGTCTATTTTAAGCGTGTTCTGTCTTGCAGCAGGGAGGTGAGTCTAGGGTCCAGTATGTGCCATGGATATTAAGAGACTTCAAGGACACTTCCCCCCATTTATCCCAGTTATGTCCCCTGCTAAAATAGGTTAATGGTGTCTAATTAACCACTGAACATTGTCATGCTGCATAAAGATAGCATCCTGGCTGTTCTCTGAGCCATGGTACTTTATCTCCATTTAGATCTCTGCAGTATTCCATTAAACTCGAGAGAAACATTTTAACTGAGATGATGTCTACATTAGAGCTGCCTTTCACCCTTCAGCACGCAACCTGCAGAAACCTTCTGTCTGCTGCAGTGGGGAGGACAGAGAAGACAGACTCTGCAGGTGGGGGGCAGTGGAGGGGTTATGTTACAGCATTTCTTCACCACGGAGCCCCAGATCCAGGACGCAGCAGTGGGCCCGCGTGGCTGCGGTCACAGGGTGTGCCGGTGTGATCAAGCTTGTCCTCAGCTGACCATCTCATGCCCATCAAATGTCATTGGCTTCTAAATGCTAAAAGAAAGGGACAGCATGTGAGCAAAAGAACTTAGGAGAGTTCATGGAGGAAAGGTGACTTAACTGGGTGGGATCTCATTTTGCCATAACACAAGTTGTCATGTTGTAAATAAAACATACATAATAAATCACACAGAACAATTAAACCAACATTAACTACCAAATTGTCAGGCCTGGCAAAGCTATAGTGCTACTGTAAGTTGAAAATATATCCTCATCATGGAAAGTATTAATTGGATGTGAAGCAGAGTCTATAGAATGAAGATTTCCCACAGTGTGGAACTACCCAAGTGTCTGTATTGTGTAGGGGTTAAGAACTGGACTCTGATGCCAGACAGCCTAGAGCTTGTATTCTGGCCCTACAGCTTTCTAGCTGGGCGACCTTAGGCAAGTTACTTTTCCTCTCTGAGCTCCAGTTTCCTCATCTGTAAAACAGAGCCAATAAAATAAAAGAGTATGATAATTAAGTAATAGATAATACTATATATAATATATATTGTTATTTTTAGTAATATATGTAAATGAGAGAATATAATAAAAGTACCTGACATCCAACAAGCCAAGTAAATGTTAGCTGTGGATATAACCCATCAGCCTTCCTATGCCAGGCTTGTAGGGGCTGGGGGCTGGTAGTGACTTTCCCCTGAGAATTGAAGGTGGATACATGATTCCATGGAGGGGAAACCTGCCGCAGGTCCTTGAGAAGCAGGGAGGTGGTGGTGGGTGGGGGATGCTGTGAAAACCAGGAGGGACTGGTTGAGTGTTCACCTGAAGGACTGGGCTTTAAATGAAGGTAGGAATACCAAGGTAGTGCCCTTAACCTCAAAGTTCTCCACCTGAGAACCTGATGTTTAAAGAATGGCCTGCTGAGCATTTTTAGTGATTGCAAAGGGCCACACAGAGATGGCTCTGGTTTCCCTTTGCCAGGTCACTGGCCAGGCCCTGTGCATCATTTTCTGGAAACAGGAAGCCAGAGAGTGCTTACTTCTGTCACCCTATCTCCACAAGGTGGGAGGTGAGAGGGAACGTTTAACTCTCATTGTCCAGAGTTAAACTTGATTCTGCAAAATGGCCAAAGCAATCAGCAAGTGATGGACTAGCTTTTAAAAAGAAATTTGGCATTTAATTAACTTCTCAAAGTGCTGGTTCAGCAACCTCTATGTTTTACATTCTGAATATGGAACAAGCATCTCTAATCGGATCTGAATCACTTCTGGGCCTACCAGGATGGAGAACACCTGATTAGCTTTTACAAATGCCATGGGCTCTTGTCTGAATTTTGGGCTAGCCAACTTAGGATCACTCAGGAATGGAGGCTTCAGTTTGTAAAGATTTTTCCTTCCTCCTCTCAGCTTTTATTTGTGTTAAGTCAGAGTTCATTAACACTTTATTTGAGGAAAGCAGGCAATCTAGAAGGGTAAGGCAGAAAGGCTTCCGTTTTCCCACTTAGCAGCTGGAGAATTCAGCCTCCTGTCTGAAATAAGTTTTAGGGCAGTGCTTCTCATAGTGTGACTGGGTCCCACTTCTGGAAATGACTACCTCCCTCAGAGGGCCAGGGCACATGGACACTGGAAAAGCTTCCCTGTGTGATTCTGCTGTGTACCACTGGTTAAGAGCTACTGGTTCACAGGATTCTTCCCAACTTTCAATTCTCTGTCTATACCATTTATTGCCTTCCGTAAGTATGGAAAGTCAGGAATGGACCATCTGCATAGATGTCTGGGTGCCCCAGGGATATCTGAAAACCAGCGGTATCTGCTTTTGAAAAGGTTTGGGGTGTATATTGACATCCAGGGTGGAAGTTGGGGGATGAGGACTCTCCTTTTAGCCTCATCACTCACTAGCTCTGTGATGCGGTGACACAGCTGGCACGGTGCCCCATGGCCCTGTGTATAAAGGTGCCGCTGAACCCTGCTCTTGCTCTTCTATGGACCTCAGCTGAGCTAGTGTGGATGGACGGACTGAAAAATGCTCTGCCTGTGTGAGGCATCTCCCCAAAGTTATCATCACCAGGTTCCTAAGCCCTCTAACAGCCTCTTCTGGGGTGAGAGGCATGTGGGCTGGCATGCGGTGAGAATGCCCGTGGCAGAGCCACTACAGCTCTGCAGACAGCCTGCCGCGGGCTGGGCCAGGTCACCTGGTTTCCTCAGCGGGATGTAAGCACGAGGTGACCCTGAACTCACAGCCTCCACCCTCAACGATCTGTGGAAGGCAGGACTTCAACCCCAAGTCCTTCTTTGGTTACCTGCCCTGTTGGGCTGTGGTCTACCACTGTGTTTGCAGTTTTTTTAACCTGTCACCAATAATTTGAAAATATATTGTGCATGATGACTGGGTATGTCCGTATATAAAACCAGAAAAAAATTCTTGTAAATCTTATTCTTACTATTTGCAGCACACTCTTTTCTACTCTAGGCTATTGAAAAAAGGTAAGAAAGGCTGGTGGTGATCCACTAAATTGATTTTGTGACTCACTAGTGGGCCATGACCTGTAGTGTGAAAATCACTGAGCTAGATTCTGTGTCCTTTTGACAGGCTGTGTGTCATTGTGTGACTAGAGGTGCCTTTGGGGCCAGCCAGGTAAAGTAAATCTGTGAAGTGGGGTTTTATTTTAGGAGAGCTCTTTAATTATATTACTAAGATACATACACAAATTATTTGCATATTCACACTTCTGTAAAGAAATACGCTTTCTACCAATTGTCTTCAAACATGCCCACTCAGTCTCCCATTTGCTTTCTCACTTTTGGTAGCTGCTTAGCTGCAGGAAATGACTTGAGTTGCCTCGTAACTTGTCTAAGAAAAGCAGCAGGCAAGCTTAATGATGGAGAGCTGGTACCGAAGCCCTCAGGGTCCAGGAAGCTGGGAGCCCCACTCCTCCAGCGGGAGCTGCCGCAGCTCGGCTCCCCAGTTTTCTGTGTGGGAATTGCAGGTCCAGTGTTGCCAGGCTTTGTATCTGAAGAGTTCAGAAATCTGGATTTTGTACAGGATCTCCCAGTTTCACACTAAAACAGCAGTGTGGTCCAGACAAAACTTATATGCCAGCTAGATGGGGCGGGTAGTGGCAGGTTTTATCACAGGCGGGTGGGCGGTGCCATTTCTCCAGGGCTTTGCCCAGGGTCCCTCTAGCCTTTCCATCTCCCAGGTAGAAGGCTCCCCCGGAACCTGCTGTATCTGGCAGAGAGAGAGACAGATACATGGAGACAGAACACCACCTGAGGGCTCCGTTCTGATCTTGCTCCTTTCCTTGCGGTGAGTGAGATGCGGGAGGACCCCTGGGATCCCCCTGGAGAGAGAGAACAGGATGTGGGCTCAGTAGCAACAATGCTGAGTGTGAAATTCATCCCCATTTCGGGTGTTGAGTGGATAAACGGCCATTAAGCAGCCTTCTGAAGATCAGCGCTATCATTATTGTTTCCTTCAGACAACATCACCACTACTTTTGCCACAGCACATTGCTTAGGAAGGAGTGCCTGAGTCGTAACTCCTGAGGGTCATCAGAGACAATACATGTGTCTCTTAGATACAGAGTGAAGGTGAGGTGCTGGCCTAGTCTGCGTAGCATCTTCAGTCACGTTGTCTCCTCTGATCCTGTTTTCATCCAGCCCTTCTACCACTGGTGACATATACTGAGTCATTTGGACTGTGGGTTTATAGAGTTCAGCTTCAGTTTATAGGACAATTAGAGGCAGTGGTCCTGGGACCTGGGGGTAAGCCAGAGCAGAGCCATCTGTCCTCCCACACAGACAGAAGGTGGCTGTAGCAGCTGCCAGGTGCTCTCCATTTAGGATTCCTTTGGCCTGGAGCAGCACTGGAAACCTACATCATCCTGCAGCACCCCGCTCGTGATGCCCCAGGCACCCCGCTGCAGTGACCTTTGGGGCCCTCCTACCCTTTCTGTCCACTAGCTGATCAGTCTCTTTACTTTGCCCCTCCGGTGTCAAAACCTGCAGCCTGGGAGATCCCCTTAGAGTTCTTCCATCCTGTTCTCCCAACTTTACCTACCCATTCTCTTCTCTCTCCCTGACTTCTGCCAAAATTCTTTCTTTTTTAAACAGTGCAGTTGGTATGGTCTAAATTTCATGGAAAGTAGTCTATTTAAACTGGGTTTATTTCTGATTATACTCCGGGTTGTGGAGGAATTACTTGCATTTTGTGAGAATTGCTGGTTGGTTCCTATGAAGCTCTTATTAACGAGGCTCGAGGGCCCAGCACTGTCCGGGGCCTTCTTGTGCGTCCTGACTCCTGGCCGTTATGACATTGCCACCATGCTCATCATGGTGACTGAGTCCTTCTAAAGATTTAAAAGAACTCATTATACACACACACACACACACACACACACACACACACACACACACACACCTTTGTTATTATGGACACTTTCAGACATACAGGAAAGTAATCATCATGTACCTGACACCAATTTTAATAATTGTCAACATTTTTACCAATCTCATTTAGAGGACTTTAGATCAGTGTTTCTCAGAGTGTCAGTAGTGACCTACTTCTATTAGAATCTCCTGGGGATTTGTTTAAAATGCATATTTCTGGGCTGCGCCTCTCCCAGACCAACTGATCCAGAACTCTCTTACTGCCTGGCCCAGGAATCTGCATGTCTAACAAGCTTCCCAGATGGTTCTTATGTGCATGAAAGTTTGAGACCCACTGCCTTAGATGAACATCTGTGTGCAAGCAGGCTTCCCGTTCTCATGGAAAGTCTTAGGGCACTGCTCACCCACCCTCACAGCGTGTTCTGGGCCTTCATGTGGGGAAAATGGAAAGTCATGCCCAGGGCTTGCAGCCTGACTGTGTGGCCAACTCGCCCCTCTTGCTCCTGGGAAGCTACACATGCTAACACCCAAAGTTCCAAGGTCTCTCTAAGTTGGTCAGATTATTTAATTGTTGAAAGAAAGGAGGGCACTGTATCATATATCCATTTGAGTTTTGAGCTGCTCACTCAACCTGCACTTACACTCAATGATTAATTTGGAGCTACTCTGAAATAAGGATGTAAGAAAGCATCACAGTATCTGTAATTCTCTCATGCTCGTTATGGGCCGTGGTCTAGAAAGAGGACTCCAGACAAATGAAGCACGTAGAATATGCTAATTTGCCCTTACTTTTGAAACCCCCTCTCCCGCCTACCACACCAGTGCATGAGACTAGTGGGTTCTCATAAACCTGGTCTTTCTTTTTTTCAGGTCAGGAAGGAGGGCTTCTGAAGAAATAGAAGAGTATGTTTCCAGCATTCTTATGGCATCCTCTGGCGACCTTTGCCCTCAGCGCTGTCCTGGTGGTCATTATCTGTTCAGCCCTTGTTGAGCACAGCATTCAAAAACAGTAGGACTCTGGCTGCACTTATGCATCCCAAATCAAGGGTTTGGTTAATGCTGCTGCCTCAACTGCAGGGCTGGACACTGGCACCGATGTCCATGTCATATCTCCCATGCTGTGGTGTTTAGAATTGTATGTCTAGGTATCTGAGTACTGGCCAGTGGGTTTTGCTTTATTGATACAGATGAGCAGAAGCAACACCAGCTTTCTAAACCTAGCCTTCTCCTAAAGCTTTTATTCAAAAAAGAAAGAAAGGTTTCTGGGTAAAGATGGGCATGTAAAAGGCAGGGCATGTCCAGGGTGGGAGCTGCGTTCCTATCATAGTCTGTGGCTGCTGCCCTGCAGAGAAGTCGTATATGGAGACCCAGTGCCTCATTAGGTTTGACCAAGTTGATGGAGGCAAGTGGGTCCAGAGTCATTTTCATCTAGAAGAAAGAATAGATGCAATAAACATTTGGGTTGTTTCTTTCTGTGTTTGAAACTAATTTTTTGCTCTCCTTTCCTTCTTTTTGGGTCAGTTACCGCCTCAGACAGCAGAGCCTGGATGGATCAGATGACAGAGAAGGTAAGATGCCTTTGAAGGCAGTCAAAAGGGTGTCCAGAGAGGCCCCAGAGTTCTCAGTGTTTTCTGGGCTACAGCTGAGGTTCTGTTTGCTGCAGCCTTAATGAAAATATCTGCAGCAGCTCCATCCTATCCCATCCCATCCCATCCCATGTCTGTGCCTTGCTGTGCTATTTCCTCTGCCTGGAGTACCTCACCCCACTTCATCCACTAACCCTGCTCCTCCTTCCAAACTCAGCGGAGGCATCACCTCCTCCCTTCTCACCTCACTCCATCTCTGACTCGGATGTTCTTTCTCTGTGTTCCTACAACCTGTCGAGCAAATCTCCATTGCAACAGCCACAATAGCTGGTATGTATTAGGTGTTTATTAAGTATCAGGCACTGTTCTGCTAGTTTACATATGTTAAAGCATTTAATCAACACATCCTCCTTATGAGACAGTACTGTTATTATTCCTACTTTGCAATTGAGAGAACTGAAGTAGGTTACCCAGGGTCTATTTCTGGTTTGTTTGTTTGTTTGATTGATTTTTTTGATTCCACTTGTAAGTTTTGTTTTGTTTCCCATTCATTCTGAACTACTCTGTGGTTCAGTTTGGATAGTTTCTATTGCTGTGTAACTGATCTTTTCTTCTGCAATCTCTAATCTGCTGTTAAAACCATCCGGTGAATTTGTTATTGCAGATAGTGTACTTTTCAGCTCTGGAAGCTCCATTCCTTTGTATCTCTCTCTATATATAGATACAACTATGTCTGTCTGTCTGTCCTCCATGTTCTCTTTACTTGGTTCATGTTTTTCTTTATCCTTTCTTTATCCATGATGATAGCCTTTAAAGTCCTTTTCTGCTAATTCTATTGTTTCTGTCTTTTCTGAATCTGTTGACTGATTTTTCTTCTGGCTAGAAGTCATATTTTTCCGCATCTTCACATCATTATTAGTAGTTTTTTTGATTGGATGCTGGCTATTGTGAATGTTACTGTGGTGGGTATCTGGATCTTGTTGTCCTTCTTTGAAGACTGTTATATCTGTTTTAGTAGGCAGTTAATGTATTTGTTGATCAACTTGGTCAGTTTGAGAATTGTTTTTAAGTTGTATGAAGGCAAGTCTGGAGTTAGCCTTAAGTACTAGACACTCAGGTCCTGTCTGTGCCAAGTGCCTGGTTGTTCAGCAAGGACTTCCCGCTCTGCCTGGGTGGAGCTGAGCCTCTTCCAGTTCTTTGTAAGCTGGGGGCTGTTCAGCTCACACCTTGCTGGGAGTAAGTCTTTGCCCAGCTCTGTGGAGTTTGACCCTATACATAGGATCACAGCTCAGTCTACAGTCAGTCTAGATTTCTGGAGCTCTTCTGCTACACAGCTCCCCTCTCTCTCTCATATTCTGCTTCTCAAGTTCCAACCACTTTAGACCCCTCAACTTTGACCCGTGTTTCCTCAACTCAGCAAGACCTCCATGTTCCCCTTGAGGCTTCCCCTGCCCAGTGCTGAAGGGCGATGGAAGGGCTCATTCATGACTTGCTCTTATCTCAGTGACCACAGTCTTGTGCTACCTATTGTCCACTCTGAAAACAGTTGTATCTTATATTTTTTTCCAGTTTTCTGATTGTTTAGAGCAGAAAGGCAAGTTCAATCCCAGTTACTCTCTTGTGGCTGGAAGTGGAGTCTGAAATCTTTCTAACTGACCTCTGCATGTAACTACAAAATGAAGGAGAGAATTAAATCTAGGAAACTTAAGATAATTACCTGTGCTTAACTGCCCCACGGGATTGGAGTCATATAGGACATATATGAAATATTCCTGAATGATGGTTAAAATACAGATTCCCAGGCCACCCGCAAATCAGAAGCTGGTGCTGGGGTCCTGAGTCTGCTCCTTGGATGAATTTTGCACCCTAAAGTTTGGCAGTCCTGCTGCGATGCCTCTAAAGCCAGTACTGAAGACTGAAGAGGATGGGAGTCGGGAAAAGACACTCCTGCCTCATCTCATTCCAAGGGGTTTTAAGGTAGAAGGGTAGTCCCTGGAGGTCAGGAATCCAGTCTACCCTCTACCAATCTTACATTTAGCAAGAGCTTAGGAGCATAGTCTCATTATTCTTCAGCATTTCTCTTTGCTTTTTCCATTATCTCTTATTGACAAGCTCATTTCTTTTTGCCACATCTTCTTCCTTAGCTCTACCCACTAAACTTCTTTTAGTGGCCAAACTTGTCTACCAACTAATAATTCACAGTGACCTATTAAATAAGGTGTGTCCTGCATTTCTGTCCCCAAGTCTCTTTTTCCAGGCACGTACCTGGGATGTCTGCTGCCAGTGCTAAACCTGCAGCTGCGGTGGCTGCTGGCCACACTCTTGATCTGCCTGCCCTCACAGACTGACTGTTGCTGCAGCCGTTGGTTGCCTAAGACAGCAGGGTATCATCCTCCGGGGTGTGCTGAAGGGCTCAAGAAGGCAGGGTCTCTCTGCCAGACAGTAAAAAGCTGTTAGGTGGTTAAGGGGCAGCGTGCATGGAAACTGTGATGCTCGTAACTCTGAGGTGCTGGTGAAATCTACGGCCTGTAGAAGGCTCTCAGCTGGCATCTTCTCCAGGCCTCTCTCCACTGTACCCTGAACCTCTTTACTATTCCCTTCAAAGAACTTCTGAAATCCTACTTTCTCCCTTTTTTCCAATGTGTGAAAATGCTGTATTTCTAGGTGTAACTGTTAAATGTTACAGCAAAACCTTCTGAATACAAAGTTTACACCCATTATAAATGCTTAATTAGAAGTTGTGCTAGCTGCCATTGTGGCGTTGTTACATCAGAAGTGCTGCAGCTTGAAGCATCTCTGGAGGCCATCTTGTCCAAGCCTGTCATCTGACATGTTACGAAGCTGAGGCTCAGAGATTATTCTACAACACAGCAGGTCTCAAAGAGGGACGCTGGTCTGACTCTCAGGAGAACAACATGCCCTCATACAACATGCCATCACCAGTCACACCAAACACCTTCCATGTGGCAGCTACTAAGCCTAGGTCTTATATTTTCTTCTCATTTAAGTCTTGAAACTAATATGTGGGGAAGCTTCTTAAAATCAACTTTATTGAGGTAATTTACATATAGTAACTGCATCCATTTAAAGTACATGACCAAAGTTTTGCCAGATGTATATACCCTGTGAAATGACTGCCACAATCAACATACAAAGCATTTTCATCTCCTCTAAAAGTCTCTCGTGCCCCTTTCCAGCCTACCCTTCCTCTTTCCTGTCTCTACACAACTACTTACCTGTTTTTTTGTCACTGTAGAATGGTTTGCATTTTCTGGAATATTATGGAAATTGAATCATATGTATGTGTGCTTTTGCATCTGTTTTTTTCCACTTACCTTAATGATTTTGAGTTGGTCCAGGTTGTGTGTATCACTAGCCTGTTCTGTTTACTAGTGAACAGTATTCCATTGTATGGACATAGCACATTTTGATTATCTGTTCACCTGCTAATGGACATTTGGATTGTTCATTATCCCCATTTTAAAGATGAGCACACTAAGGCAAAGAACAGTAATCTTGCCAAAAGGCACACAAGTAGTAAATGACAATACCAAGATTTGGAAGGCAACAGGGCTCTGTACCATGGATGGTGCACCACCCAGCACCGGGATCTGAATACAGATCTATACCCCAGAGGCCTTGCTCTTGGCTTCTGGGCTATAACAAATGGGGCAACCCTCAGCATGTTGGCGTCTCCTTCTGCAGATAGGTTCTATTACTGCCAGCTCCCAGGTTTGTCATATAGAGCAGCTAGCATGATTGATAGGATGCTTAATACAATGTCATTATGGAACAAGAGAAGAAAAATATCTATTTTCAGAGAATACCTCTGTATTATTTTCCCCTTCATAAATTTGGAATGTGAAATTAGTGATTTGGCCTTTCTTTGGGCTCTGGAGGTTTGAAGCATAAAACTCTTCCTTGTCAAGAGTGCACTGATTTTACCTTCACAGGGAGGAATGCCCCTTCCCTGGCATAAATCTGTTTTCCATGCAATATGCCTGAGTCCTTTAATGGAAGATCAGTTCATATTGTCACACTTCACACTTGACTTAGTCCATTTCATGTATGTGAATGTTTAGAATCCATTATGTAGTAGGAATCATATGTTACATATAACTAGTTTCTAGAATTATCTTTGCTCAGAGAATTACTTGGTTGGCTGGTGAAGGCTGCTTCTTTGAACTTAGAATAACCAGTGGGTAGGGACACTCCATGAATGATGGCCCTGAGTCATCCATGAATGCTTATTCAGCAGTGCCATTAAACAGATCTTTGGGCATCTGTAAGGGAGGCTATTGGTGCCCTTAATAACATCACATCCAGGTTCTTTGAGGTTGTCAGCACAAGGAGCATTGTCACTTGCAAAGGGGCTGCTAGTTGCCTTATACTTGGTGGGGGTGAGTGAGTGGTGAGCAGTCCCAAGGGAGATGGATCTTGGGGATGAATCAAGGTCCAGGGCCCCCTCCAGACAAGTGGTCTCCCTCCACCACCAGTCTTAGAGGTTAGATTTAATTGAGGAGAGTCAGCAGGCTTTCATACAGCACCTCCTGTGGCCAGTATTGCTCCAGATGCTGGGGAGGGCAATGAGTAAGACAGCCCTTGCCCTCTGCAAGTTTCTCAGGTAGTGGAAAATGCCCTCCCCTTTTTCCCTCCCCATCTTTTATAGAAAACTTCCAGGAGCTATGTCTCTGTAGATACATTTCTCACCCTTCAGCCTCCCTAGCTTCACTCTTGCTACATGTTACTCCTTCCCCTGGGAAGATGCCGAGGGAGAGAAGAGAAGTGCTTCCTCCCCTCCATGATTTCTCAGGCATCCGAAGGAAGTGGACAGAACAACAACAACAAAAAAACAGGGCTTTTAAGATAAGGTGTTTTAATAGAATGAGAGACAGAGTGAGTGACATTTAGAGGTGGTTTTTGGATTTATTATTTAACCATAATGTGCTATATGGGGACTGTTTGCAGGGCCGTGGCAGCCT